CTGGCTGGGGTGGAGGTGAGGGGAAGAGGTGAGAAGAGTTGTTCTTTGCCTCCTGCCAGTGCACCTGTGACCACAGCTGTACTTTGCCTGGGTCAACAGGCAGAGACCTGTTGCTGTGTGACAGTGGCACTTGTGAGGTGGCTGCAGCTCAGGTTTCTAAGAGACCCCGAGTCCTTTGAGTGCCATTTGTTTCGAATGGTGTGGAGTGGAGACCCTCAGGTTGGGTGTCTACAGAGTCTAGCATCACACCGCTGCTTATCAGTTTGTGAAAGGACACTGAAGGTCACCTTGCCTGTCAGGGGGAGAAGATAATGATCACCACACTCCATAGAAAAAATTTCCAAGTTAAAACAGGTTCACAAAAATCTTTGTCTATTGTCCCACTAACTCTGAAGGCAGGGATCTGTCCTATTCATTTACATGTTCCCAGTGCCAAACATGGCTCCAGACAAACTCAAATGTTTGTTGACTGAATGCATGAATGAATGGTGCAGTAAAATCTATGGGGTATGGGGAACGTGAATAAAATAAAATTACTAAGGGTTTGTTCAGTCATGAAAAAACCCTAATGTCTACCTATATCCTCATATGTACCCACAATGAGGTAAAAATGAAATGTGCAGCATTTTACAATGAGCATTAACTAAAGAATATCATCTTGCATTTCCTTTCTTACCAACTCTCTGCAGCCCTTTTTCTTCATGCATTTCTGTTGGTGTCGTGAAGCAGGTTAGGCCCTTGCTTTATATGGCCTGTCCATTATTGATACATTCTACGGGAAAGAATTCCATCACCCCTGGGAAACTGTAGCAGTTGATCTCATAGATTGGAAATATTTTTATGCATGACTCAAACAAGTGCCTTTCTTATTTGGGGTAGAAGGACCCTTCCACTTGAAATTACTTTGTTTCCGATGGCCCTGTTGCTGTGCCCCACGAGGGAACGGACTTTGGAGTCAGACTATGCTAGTTTTATTCCTGACTCTACTGCTTTCTGGGTGGTTGCCTTCAGCTTGGCCATTTGACCTGTGTGGGACTCGGTTCCTTTACCCATGTTGCGCCCTCTGTAGTGGCCGTGAACAGATCTTGCTGACCTCCCTTTGCGGGGAGTACATGTGACCAGGAGCTGCGGTAGCCACTGGGGTACCCAGCACTGCAGGTGCATTTTCCACAGGCTGCTCCAGCTACAAACTGAGCGTGTGAGGATGTCATCACGGGTCGTTGCTGGGAGACACAGGACTCCTCAGATAGCTGACTTTCGCAACCTTGCTGAACCTTCCTGAGACTGTAGGTCTCATCCTTCTTTCTTTTACCTCATGGGGGCAGACTGATGGCTGTCCTGATGGAGTCTCCTGACTCCCTCTCATTTCCTCTCATGCATTCATTTCCTCTAAAAAGACCACTGTGCATCTGATCCTTTCTTGTCATCTGCTCCTGGGAGGACATGGATGCACACAGTGTGATAGTTCCTCGTAGTGTGGTCCAAATGTAGTGATGTGAGCACAGTGTTGATCACAGTGACAGCCACGGGCCAGTGCCCAGCATGGAGTAGGGGGTCCCATCACCTTCACTGCCATCACTGCCGTCACCACTACGGTCATCTGCCCACTTTTGCTTCCTTGTTTGTACCAGACATGGAGACCCACAGTAGCTCATCATAGGCAATTCTGTATTAGAGTGAAAACAACTCTGGTTTCCAGGGGGAAGAAATGGATGGATTAGAACACCTTTTGGAAATTTATCCAATTTAAGGAAGGAGCACAATCCAAGTCCTTTTCCAGGTGTCAAAATGTGCAGTTATATTTTCTACAGCAGCCAACTCCAGCTTTGGCAAGTACCCAAGGGGTTTTGGTATCCCTGAGATTCCTGCCAGGACTCCTGAAATCAATAAATACTTCCCAATCAGTAAGCCAGGGCAGCTCAATTGTGGTTCCTGAGAACTTTGTGGAGGTTAAGAGAAGTGGCTGTTATTGTTCACATTTCACAGATAAGCAAGCAGAGAAGTCAAGGTCACCAGTCACTGATGGGTTTGGGACTGAACTCTGGTTTCTGCCCCGTTGCTTTGGAGTCTCTAGGCGTTGTGGATTCTGTTCAAATCCTGTTCCCTGGGACAGTCTCAGCAAACTGGTATCAGGAACTGGCTCAGAAAGACCTTTCTCCAGCCCAATTCTGCACAGCCTCAAGGATGCTGGAAGGTCTGGAACTGTGCATGACTCAGGTCAGTGACAGAGACTCCACTCCAGCTGGCTTCTGTGCTCAGGCCCTCAGTGGCCATTGGACAAGGTGACCTGGAGAGGTGGTGTGTGTTCATTAAGTACATGGTCACATCCCTGAGGTGGAGGAGCTGTGCCCCATGCCCACAGTGGCACAGCCTTTATGTGCATCCATTGTTGGCTAAATGCCTGTCGTGTAGGTGGTGGTGATTCTCACAGGCCATCTCTGTGAGGTCTGTAGGAATGAGCAGCAACAACAGAAAATGAACATTGCCAGAAATTATGCCAAGAAGTGGAGATCCAGGGATGACAGATGAGCTTTCTGACTCTGAAAAGTGCACAGACCAGTGGAGAAGACAGGCAGGCTGAGTGTGCCTGGCAGAGGCTGGGGGACATCATGGAGGAGGCAGCTGTGAGCCGAGCCCGAGGATGTGGGAGGTTGATAGGCAGATGAGGTTCCTGGCTGAGAGAACATCTGCAAAGGTGTCTCGCTGTGTCTGAGGGCCAGCTGGAATGTCAGGGTGATGCTTCATACCCACACTGAGCGTGTGAGGATGTCACTGAGCATGCACGTTTTGGCTGGGCTGATCCTCCCTCCCTCCCTCCCTTCCTTCCTTCGCCCTCTGTGTTCCAGGCACTGTGCAGGATACTGGAGATCCAGAGGGGAGAGGGGAGAGTGGATGTGATGCCTGCCCTCATAGGGATATTTGAGTCTCACCCCCTGATCTAGCTAAGTGATCAGGCTGCATTAGCAGCGTGGTGCAGTGAGAGCTGGGGAAGGGTGTGACTGCTGTGATGAGTTCACTAATTTATAATCATATGGCTTTGGAAGTCACGAGCTCAGGGTGTCTCACTTGGCCAAAGTGTAAGTAAGGCTGGTTCCTTCTGGAGGCTCTAAGAGGACACTCTTTTCCTGGACTTTTCCACCACCCAGGGGGACCATGTCCCTTGCTTGGCTTGTGGCCTCATCAATCCAAACTCTGCTTCTGCCTTCACATCTCCTGTCTACTTCCTCTTCTGATTATACTGAGTCTGCTCATAAACCAGGATAATCTCTCCACTCCAGGATCTTTAATCATCAGTCACCCTGAGTTCCTTTTGGTATGCACAGTAACATAGGTCCTGAGGATTAGGGTGTGGATGGTCTTTGGAACCTAGCCCACATACCACAAGAGGGATGGCTGATTCTACTTTATAGATCATCAATATGCTGTTCCAGAGAATTTTGTATGCGTGTTAAGTCTGCAGGAGATTTAGTATTGAATGATTTCATCGACAGAATAATACACAGTAAGAGGTTGATATGCCAGGCATGGTGGGGCACACTTATAAACATCGCACCTGCCTGGGGGGCTGATGCAGGAGGATCACAATTTTGAGCCCAGCTGGGCCAACTTAGTGAGATCCTGTCTCAAGATAAAAAGGTTAGGGATGTCACTTAGTTGTAGATCACTTGCTCAGCATGTGTGAGGCCCTGGGTTCAACCCCAGCACTGAGGGGTAGGGTGGGGAAGCTAATTTGGAAGGTCTAGGAGGAGAGGCAGGTGTTAATAGACCTTATATTTTTCTAAGTGACCTTCCCTACAGCCAGATGTCAGGATCACTGATTGGGAGCAATTCCTGCTCTTTGATTCGCCTTGAGTTCTACAACACAGAAATTGAACAGTTGAGCCCCTGGTGGAGTGGGATTGTTTGCTCCACTTAGGTAATTCTGTTTGTCATTTCCTAATGCCTTATTTACCCAGCAGTCACAGCAGAGGCCATAATAAGAATTAGAATAATAAAGAAAGGACAAAATTGAAGTGGAAGGACTGCTCATTGCTGCCCAAGACAGATTTCTTTACTCCATGATAGCATTGCTTGTATGACAGCATCCTTGAGCTTTCTGCCTCTGCAGAAAAGCTGCCAGTTTAACATATTTATTTCCCAAGTAATGAAACTGCCCTTCAAGGGAGCAAGGGGCCTTAGAGAATTTTACGTGTTCTGAAAACCAGGGGGAAATTCATTTTGGCTTGGCTTCTTAGTGGAAGATACTAGAAGAAAACTTCTATCACTTGTAGAACAGTAGCAGTTGCATCTTCTAAGTTACAGCATTTTCTATTAGGAAATACACTTGGGATTGATTTTATTTTTATTATTTTTATCATGAAGCCAAGCTAATTGTCTTAAAACACCACTCTTGTTTCCTTTCCTCATTATGGTCACCTGTCTTTATCTTCACTACTTAACAGTTTTCATAAACCCAAACCTTTTTTGCTGTGTCTTGGCTTTTGACTTTTGTTGTTTATAGCAAGATCTTTCTTCTTTCCTTTGTTTCTTTGTTTTGTGGCAAGATAGACCTTTAAAGTTGATAGATGTCCGTCTCTTCTCTGTTTTTGTACTTGGATATATGTAACTGGATAGCCCTGGCCAATTTATTTTTCTCCAAGTTGAACAATATGCCTGTTTTTCAAGTATGGTGATTTGTTGTGTTTCTTCCACACTGTCTAAACCAGGAAACTAAGGGAGGGGATGAATTATAAATAAGAGAGATAAGTTTCCAGTTTGGACCCTTGTAGAAAAATGTAAGCATTTCAAGCTCAATTAATACCCTTTTTCTTAAAATTAGGATTCCTGGTGTTCATTTTTAAGTGCTCAAAACGGGCACCTAGCAACTGATCAAATTCCCCGAGTGCTGGCTTGGCGAAAGCCGACTGAGGAAGATACCTCTGCTATGCTTCTGATAAATTTTGTGCTTTGTCTTTATAAATAAACTCTCTTTTCCCCCTCTCCCCCTCCTCATTCCTCAGTGGCTGTTCCTGCGGCAGCCCCACCCGTGTGCCAGCCCAAGAGTGCCTCTAACGGGCACCCTCCGGCTCCCCGCCTCTCCATTTCCTCCCGCGCCACGGTGGTAGCCAGAATGGAAGGCGCCTCCCAGGGGGGCCTGCAGACTGTCATGAAGTGGAAAACCGTGGTTGCCATCTTTGTGGTCGTGGTGGTCTACCTCGTCACGGGTGGCCTCGTCTTCCGGGCGCTGGAGCAGCCCTTTGAGAGCAGCCAGAAGAACACCATCGCCCTGGAGAAGGCGGAATTCCTGCGGGACCACATCTGCGTGAGCCCCCAGGAACTGGAGACATTGATCCAGGTGAGCAGGGAGTGAGTCAGCGCAGGCACGCTGTGGGGTGGGATGGTAACACTAAGTCTATTTTTGTGGGTCATCAAGCTTTTCCTCTGTAAAGGTGGGCCTGGTGTTCAGAGAAGACCTCTCAGGGATGGTTACATTTGAGCCGAGACCTCAGAGAAGCCAAAGAGTGAGGGATGTGGAAATGTGCGGAAGAGGGACCATGCATGCCGTGGCCCTGCTGTGGGACCAGGCGGTGTGTTCCGCATCAGCTGGCTCTGGATCTGGTGACCAGAAGCAGCAGCAGGCGAAAGGGGCTTTGTATTTTCAAATTGGAGTCCTCTGGTACGTGCTGATTAACTTCCTGATTCTAAACTCCTAGGCAAATGCTGAGATAAGAGGGTGCCCTATAAGCCAAAGGCAGGAAGAGTTTTAAACGTGTGGATGTTTTAACCTTTCTGTGAGGATGAGGCCGAGAAAAGACCTCCAGGTATATGGATGATGTCATTGATGGCTTATTTAGGGGGTTTATGGGAAATGAAACAGCGAAGACCAGAGTAACAGTAAGCATCAAGTTTGCTGTTTCTGAACATTTTCTGCCTCAGGCATTATACTAATGCCATTACATCCCTTGGGTATCAGTGGAGGCTGAGGAGCTGGGGGATAAGCTGAAGAACCAAGGCAGAGCCAGCAGGGATGGGTGGGAGAGGCGCTGCAGGGGTGCACTGTGGCAGCCAAGGCCCCGGGTCTCCCCAGGTGGTGTGATGGGAGAGACTGGGACAGGAAGTCTGAGAAGCTTGGGAAGAGAGAAGCAAGTCCCATGTGCAGAAGAGAGAAATGGCCGAGAGCCCCTTGGAGGGCTTTGCTGTGGAGGAGAGGGAGATCAACTGCCTTTGAGGTTGCAGTTAGATGTCCTCTGTTGGATGCCTTCCTGGACCACAATAAATGGGAGGTGGTGACATCCATGGAGCCAAGGGAATTTCACCTTTTTGGAGGTTCCGAAGTGGGGAAGGCAGAGGGATAGAAAAGACGGCTCCCGCAGTTCCTCTGGCTCTGGGATATGTGCATTGAATTCTGGTGGCTCTACTGACCTGGGTGGTGGGGGGTGACAGCCTGGGCCAGCTTATTATTTATTTATTTCTAGTTACACTGATGCTTATTATGCTCTCACACCTTCACCATATCATACTTTCAGAATCAGTGATAACAATCTTAAATAAATAGAAATGAAAATTATATCCCCCCACAGCTGGAATAAATATGATTTTATAGCCATGTTCCAGGTTTATTTATTTATTTAGAGTTTTTTGAGGCAGGGTCTCACTATGTAGTCCAGGCTGGCTTTGAATTCATTATGTAGCACAGTCTGGCCTTGAACTTAATGGTGATCCTCCTGCCTCAGCCTCTTGGGTGCTAGGATTACAGGTGTGTGCCACCATGTCTGGATACAATTTTATTTTGAAAAACCTTTTAAATGTTAAAATCTAAGGACAATAGTTTTTTTTTTGTTTTTTTAATCACATAGGAAGCTGATTCTCTGGATGGCCTTGTCTTTTTTTTTTCTCTTTTCCGGGTAAACTGTGCTACCTATATATCTCTATCATTTCTGTCTCCATCCCTCTCTATATATGTGCCATATTTGTTTGTTTTTTGAGGCAGTCTTGCTATATAGTTCATACTGGCCTTGAACTCACTATGTAGCCCAGGCTACAAACTCACAGAAGTCTTCCTGCCCCAGCTTTCCAAGTGCTGGGATTATAGGCATGTGCCACCATGCCTGGCTGTATGCTGCCACATTTTCAATGACAAAACTGTTATGCTAGCCAGTGCTTAATTTTAAACCTTGTATGCATAGAGAATAGGAAAAACAATTGTAAAATAGTCTTACATTAGAATATAATTGCATTTGTACATGTTGTGATTTATGATGGGAACCTTTTTACTTAGTTGCAGTACAAATAATAATCTCAAGATGGTCCGAACTAAATTTTGTGTCACCTTCCTTAGATAGTGAGATCTTGAGGGAAGGGATTGTGTCTTCTTAATCTTTGTACCCATGTGTAGCCTATATAGTGCTTTGTATTTGGCTATTTCCCAATAGATAAATGTTTTTGGGGCAAGCTATCAAAGTAAATGTGTAACATTAGTGATTTCATAACATATCTCAGCTTACTCATGCATTTGCTGATTAACCCAGAGTTTTTATTGCCCATCCTTTGACCCACTCCTCTATGAAACTCAGAGGCCAGAATGAACAGCAAGGGTGTGTGTGTGGAGACCCTAATTCTGGTGTTACCATTAGACCTGCCTTCTCATTTTCCTGGCTTGTTCAGTTTATTTAAAATTTATTTTATTATTTTTAATGGGCACATAAAATTATATATATTTATGGGGCATTATGTGGTATTTTGATACATGTATACATTGTTTAATGTTTAAATCAGTGTAAACATAACTCTTTCCTCAAACATTTATCATTCTTTATGATAAAAACAGTACAGAATACCACTTTCTAGTTTTTTGCTTTTTTTTTTCAGCTTTAATTGAGTTTATTGGTACATTTTAGGGATACAGTACAGTTACATTCATTGTTGGGATCTTGTACCTCTACATGACAAGTCTTGATTCTCATTTTTTCCCTTACCCCTGCCCTCCCTTCACCCCCTCCTCCCCTCCCCATCTACAAACACTTTATTTTCATCTTTTCATTATCTCACATTTTTTTCTTTTCCCTTATTACTCTTTTCTAGTTTTAAAAATATGTACAGAACATCATCATTATCACTAGTCAAGCTTCTGTGCCACAGAGTACCAGACATCTCTCTTCTGTCTAATGATGGCTTAGTTTCCTTAATCTTCCTTCCCTCATCCCACCCTTCTCTCTGCTCTCCTTATTCTTGTAACCACCTTCCTACTCTCAATTTTCATGACTTTGACTTTTTAAAATTCCACATAATGCGTGAGATAATCCTCTTTTTGCTTTAAGTCTTCCGTGTTATAATTAAATCATAACATCACTATACTCTCAATGATTTAAAATTTGTGTTAACGTGTGTTAATTGTACATGTTAATGGGGTTCAGTGTGATATTCCCATAGTGCCTATCATGTATAGTGATCAAATCCCACCTCCCTCTTCCTCTAGTTCCTCCCAATTTCTAGCAATCACTATTTTACTTAAAGTTGTCTATTTCTCAGTTTCTACATAATAGAAAGAATGTGGCAATATACACTAGTTGTCTTTCTATGCCTGGCTTATTTCACCTACATAACGTACTCCTGTGTCATCCATTTTGCTACAAATGACAGGCTTTCATTCTACTTTGCGGCTAGATAATATTCTGTTGTGTAAATACATCATATTTCCTTTATGCATTCATCTGTGCATGGCCATTTAGGCCGACTCCATACCTTTACTGTTGTGAATAGTGCCACAATAAACATGAACATACAGCTACTACTTTGGTATGCTGATTTCATTTTCTTTGTATTCCTACCCAGAAGTGGTATAGCTGGATGATATAATAGATCCTACTTTAAGTTTTTTTGTGGAGCTTCCACATTGTTCTCTGTAATGGTTATACTAGTTTACATTCCTTTCAACAGCATATACGAGTTTCTTCTTCCACATCTTCTCCAGAATTTATAATTATTTTTTGTTAGTAGCCATTCTAAATGGGGTAAGATGGTATTTGGCTGTAGTTTTGATTTACATTTCCCTGATGGCTAATGATATTGGGCAATTTTTCATTTATTTGTTGACCATTTGTATTTCTTTTTTTGGGAAGTGTCTATTCATGCAATTTGCCCATTTTTTATTTTTAATTTTATTTAGTTTATTGATACATTCTAGGTAGACAGTACAGTTACATTCATTACTGGGATCTTGTACCTTTATGCCCATTTTTAAATTGGAGTACTTTTTTGTTGTAGTTAATTATTTTTGAATTACTTATATATTAATCTTCTATCATATGAGCAATTGGTAAATATTTTCTCCCATTTTAGGTTGGCTCTTCTCTCTATTGACTTGTTTTAGTTTGATTTTGTCCCATTTACCAATTTTTTGCTTTTGTCTCATGTATTTTAGGGTTCCATCCAGAAAATCATTGCCTATACCAGTATCTTGGCATTTCTCCTGGTAGTTTCAGGTCTCACATTTACATCTTTGATCCACCTTGCCTTGGTTTTTGTACAGGGTGAAAGATAGAGGTTAAATTTCAATTTTCTGAGTGTGGATATTCAGTTTTCCCAGAACTGTTTATTGAAGTGTAAGTTTTGGTGCCTTTATTGGGAGTCAGTTGGCTTTAGATGCCTGGGTTTGTTTCTGGAATCTCTATTCTGTTCCATGGCCTGTGTCACTGTTTTTATAAGAATTCCATGCTATTTTTGTGGCTCTGTGGTAGATCTACACTTGATCTTAGCCAAAGGGCTGAGAAGCGTCTGTGGTATATCTTTAAATCAGGTGTGGTGGTACTTCCAGTTTCGTGCTCTTTGGTCGTGATCACTTTGGCTACTCCAGGTTCTTTTCATCCACATTTTAGGATTGCTTTTTCGAATTCTGTGAAGAATGTCATTGGTATTCTGTTCAATTTGATTGAACCTTTGTTCCTTGTTTTGACCCTAAAGATTTCTCTGAGAAATGAGGAGTATGTGTATGTGTATGCATATACATGAGATGATTTTATAGCAATAAAAGAATCTACCCTTGGTGAGGGGCCTTATCCTCATTATCTTATTTAATCTTTCCAACAGTTCTCAAAGTTGGTATTATTATCTTCATTTTATAGGTGAGAAAATGAATACTAAAAGAGAGTGAGTAACTTTCTAACCACAAAAATGGGAGAGCTGGTACTCAAGAGCGGTCTGACATGACGCTATTTTAGCCCTTAAGCCTACAAGCACTTTATGTAGATCTTCCTCTATAAAAAATATCACTTCTCTTTTAAACATTTGCTTTATGTTTAAGAAATTCCAGAATTTTACCAGTCAAAAATCAATGGAGTTCCTTGTTCCCTAACAGGA